AAAGACAGAATTTTCCGGAAATGATGTAGTATAAAACAAGAAAATCACGGAAATGGAGGAAATATAAGACGGACTCTTTCGGAAATGAGAGAATATAAGAAGGAATTTTTCGAGAAATGATCTAATATCATAGATGGATAAAAAATTAAAAAGATAGAAAATATCATGAACATGGCGGAAATAAAATTCGGAATCTTCCAGAAATGAGGGATTAGAATAAGATGTATTTTTATGGAGAAATGAAGGAATGTAAAAAATAGAAATATTTCGGAAATGATTGACTATGAAAGACGGAAACTAATAAATATGAATGAAAATGATGGAATATGAAACGGACCAGAGGGAGAACGGACCAAGATAAGAGATATAAGACATTATCCGATGATCAAAGACGGAAGAGACCGGAAATAATAGAATGTGAAATAAATCGGAAATAGGACGCAAATATCAAGAGAAATCCGAATATGAAAGACGACACTTGTCGAAATGATGGAATATGCGGAAATGATGGACTGCGAAACGAAATGAAAATAAGACGGGAATATTCAGAAATACACGAATATGAAGTGGCCACATTCGCACGGGGGGGCCGGGGGGAAAGGTCATTTAGCCATATGAGTTGTCGCAGCCATATACAATGAGGTACAAGCACCTTCTCTACCTTCTCTGTTTCTTTCGCGGCCACGACCAACTCATTGAGGAGAGAATGTAGCTTCCAATAACCCATACTGTGGGATGCCTCGATCAAACTTTTTGCGGCCGACCAAAACGGGAGGAAGACAGAAATATCCGGAAATGGCAATGCTGGAATATGAAAGACGGATATTTTCGAAAATAATACGACATAAAAGATGGAAGAATCCGCAAATGGTGGCATACGAAAGATGGAAATTTCGGACATGATGGGGTATGACGGACGGAAAAATCCGGAAATGGCGGAATATGAAAGGTGGAGTTTCGCGGAAACGAGAGAATATAAAGATCGGAAATTATAGAATATGAAATGGAGCAGAAGGAGAAGACGGACGAAATCCCGGAAAATCAACAACGAGTCCGATAATCAAAGATAAAAAGATCAAGAAATGCTCGAAAAAGAAAGACGAAATTTCGGGAGGTGATGGAATATCCCTATATAATAGATACGAAAAAATGATGGGACCATTGGAAATTTATAAATATGATTCGGACAAGAGGGCCGGGGGAAGAAATAGAAAGATATATAAGGACAAATAGCCTTACGAGATGTCGGTGCAATATGTAGCAGTTTCAGCATCTGCTTGAATGAAAGTCATATATTGATGTAGGCGATAATAATTTTGATCAGAGATTTAAACATCTACTATGAATGTGAAAGAGATACGTAGCTAATTCGATGGTTTCTGGAGGCGGCACCATATGTAGAGCAAGGCGACGACCCATTAAATAGAGTTTGTAATTGTTAAAATCATATTCTGAATAAGGAGAAGATATGGTCCAAAATCACAGATACTATATTCAAGGAAATAGAAATATGCTATATCGAGTTGTAGCGAATTCAATAACTCAGTGGCTAACGCCCCGACCTTACAATATTTTCGTGATCGCTTCAAGATTCGTTAAAGTGCACCTATCGTTGCACTCATGACCCTTGGAAGTGCTCTTCCTAATGCTTATTATTATTTTGGAAGTCTTATTTGTTATGGTGGCCGCCTGAGCCTTGGAAATCTATATAGTGTCTAGCTTTTGGAAGTATGCCCCTTGTAGCGTCGTAGTGGAAGCTTTCGTATGAAAGCGTATAGAGCGTCTGGTGGCCTGGTTCTTGGAAGTGAGCTTACTATCGTTGTGGTCATGGTTCTGGGAAGTGCGTGCCTATCGTTGTCTTGGAAGCTTCATCTACCATCGTGGTCGTCTGGTTATTAGAAATCTTGGAGGTATAATTACCGGTACCTACCGTTAGTGTCATGGTTCTTGGAAGTGTACCTGTCGTTGTCTAATCTTTGAATTTTTCCCCAATATTGTCGTCTAGTTCTTGGATGTCTATGCAATGTGTAATTCTTAGAAGTGTATCTGCCGTTGCGGCCATGATTGTTGGAAGTCTATGAATCTACCGTTATCTTGGCAGTGTAATCTTCCGTCGTGCCCGCCGGTTTCTTGGAAGTGTATGTACCGTCTGCTTACCTGATGCTTGGTAGGGTACCTAAAATTGGGGTCAAGGCTCTTGGAAGTATGCCTGCCGTTGTCTTGGAAATTATTTCTACGAAGTGTATATAGCGTTTGGGCCCCTGGTTCTTGGAAGTAGATCTGTCGTTGATTGAGGTCATCGTTCTTAGAAGTCAAATTCCTGGAAATAATACCTACCGTCGCGGTCGCCTGGCGGCTAGAAATCTTAGGGAAGTTTTGAAGGTATATTTGCCGTTGTGGTCATGGTTCTTGGAAGTACACCTATCTTCGCGCTTGAAGTTTTACCTATCGTTGCGACCTCTTGATTCTTGGACGTCTGTTGGTCTGTCTCGCCTGGTTCGATCCTGGAAATATACCCATCGCTGCCGTCATGGATTTTTCAAATTTACCTACCGTCGTCTTGGAATCTTACCTGCCGAAAACGGCCACGATAGAACTATGGCCGCTGACCAGGTGTCACTTATTTCCAAATATCAGGCGGCCACGATAACACGCACTCCTCCAAGATCTGACCCATGACCTCAACGATTGGAGAAATAGATATATATCTATATATATATATATACCTATCTACGAAGCGGGCGACAATTCGCTACAGATACTTCCAGGAGCCATGACCACAAGGGCAGATACTCTTCTAAGAAATACGCAAATAGAGGCTATGCCCACTTAGACGAATCAAATGGCGACAACATATAACGTCTGGAAATAAACCGGACATCCTCTTTGGCATTTTATCTGCCATCGAGGTTGCCTGGCTCTTGGAAGTGCATGTAGAGTG